GCGTGCACGGATTGACTCCACCGATGTCGAAATCATTGATTTGGAAATAGCAGAAGAGTTGCCGGAAACGAAGAATGAGGAACAAAAAGTCCAAAAGACTGGTTCGCAGGATGCAAAACCATCCTGTACGAGCACAGAAAAAGCAGGAAAATTGGTCGGTGTCTCATGTTACTTGTGCATTGATTATGAGAGCATAGACTGAATATACCTCAGGAAAATCGTACAAAGGCGTTCAAGAATCAAGCAGATTGTAGTTGGACGGTTGACGAGATGATGAAGGCGTATGGCTCAGTGGCGCAAGAGGAGTCTAATGGTGCAACGCCAGGTGAGAGAGGCTTTCTATTGTGAAGATAACAAGCGCTTTGGAATTGTCGGAAATAGATGTATCATAATTAATAGGACTGTTATGGGTAACGTTTTGAGAGTGGTACCCCTTTTGTTTTAATATAGGACGAACACCGTTTTGGAGATTTGAAGCATCACAATTGATTCTCTGGCAATTCTTGGGAAGTGCAGGCAAATTAGGGTCATATGAAAAGTCTCCAATTTTGTTTATTTGGAAACCTTTTTATTACTTTATGGTAAATTCATATTCTCTGAGCTACAGCCTTCAGCCATTGATTTTTGGCCATAAGAATTTTGCTTACTATTTTGTACCACAGAGATGAACTCAAATCATAATCTTGCTATAAATGGTGGCACGACCTGCGTTGCTAAATCTCCCCTTCAATTTCTCATTTACAGTAATGTTCATGAATTGAAGACAGTATCCAGGGAATTTTTTGTTTTAAAATCATTCAATTGGACTTTGGTGGGCTTAACGCAAAAAGAAGCTCATATCGTGTGAAATTGTCAAAAAACAGGGTTGCAACTTTCTTATGACAAACGAAGACAAGTAGAACGACAGCTTTTTGGAAAAAAATTAATAGCTTGCTATCAGGGGGGAATAAAAATACTGCGAAATAAAGGTCCAAAGCAATTTTTTTTACTTCTGTTGATTTTTCAAGCCAGTTTTGATGGCTTGCTTGACAAGTGGGTTGACTACATTAATGTTACAAGAACTCAGAAACTTAAAATATTTGCGCGTAGACACTACCTTTAGGGAATACAAAAAACACGAACGTTGGAAAATTCTCTTTTCCTCAATTTTACCTTTAATTTTTTTCTAACTAGGAGGTGCAGGAAAAGAAAACGATCTTTTATCCTTTTTTAGCAGAACAAGTTGTCTTGGTAATTTGTTTTCGTTTAGCCAGCAAAGCTGTAACAAGTGTTCTCAACTCGACATCCACCATCACAACTGGCTCAAACTCAGGACGCAGTGCATATTTTGTAAAAAGGTCTGTAAATGTAAAATTGGTCAACTTTATTTTTCAGTGAAATTTTTTAGAAGTGCTAGCTGTGCCAATCCTTTTAGAAAGCCTTTAGTGAAGGCGCCCATAAA